CTGGGCGTCGAACGCGGGCCCTTCGACCGTCGCGACGACTGGGAGAAGTCGGGGAACCGACATGGACGTCGACAGACAGTTGGGGGCTGCCTGTGATAAATTCCCCTGGCCCTCGAGTCGCGCCGACGGAGATGCGCAGTGCGCCAACTCTTCGAGAGCGCGTGGCATCGTCGCTACCAACGCAATCCCCCGCGGCCCGCTCGCGCAATACCTGGGCACCCAGACTGAGCAGAACTCGCAGGTGGCGGTGGTCTTCGCGCAGGAGCATCGGGAGCTCCACTACTGGCTGGGCGCGGTGCAAGCGGCTGCGCGCGACGCGGTCTGGGCAGGTGCCTGGCTGCCTGCTGCTGCTGTAGTTGTCGGCTCCAGCGGGGGCGTTGCTGCGCTGGCAAGTATTGGTTCTCGTGAGCTATGGGCCCGACGCTGCTGATGGATGCGTCGTGCCTGCTCGCATTGCTGCTGCCCGCGTCCACTGGGCGCTTCGCGGAGGCCAGGTTTGCCGATCGCCCTATTTCATCGTGGGCGACGCGGGATGGGCCGAGAACCTCGCGCTGCCATGGGAAGCGGCGCAGTGCATCAAGAAAGTGGAGCTGCAGGGCCGCGCCTGGATGCCCGAGCCCGATCAGGTCTTCAATGCGGACAAGCTGCAGAAGCTGCGTGCTCGAATTCGGGCGTCGGAGAGGCCGACGCGCGCGCAGACAGCGCTAGCCCGCTGCATCGACTTCTTCGTGGCCCCTGCTGACCCGGCCCCCCGACTGACTGGCCCCCGCGCGGGCGAGGGCGTGGACGCATGGCCGCATCATTCGGTGCATGTCGCCCTCCGAGGGGCGGCCCACGAGGCTCGAGCGCGCGCCCGCTGCGCCCCCGAGGCGACCCCTCCGGGCCCCGAGCTTGGCTGCGCCAGACAACCCTGGAGATGGCCGCAAACCTTGCACTCGATGCAACCAACTGCAGGTGGCGATGGACTTGGCCACGTGGGGCATCGAGGAGGAGGTGCCTGGTGGGCGCGACATCGTCGATGAGGCGAAGCGCCCGCACTACTCTCAGGGCATGCGCATCGACTGCAAGTGGCAGAAGTGAACTGGCAGACCCCCTTGAGTCGGGCGCGGACGAGCGAGCGCACCAAGGCCTATGTTGCGGCCAAGAAGTGGCTGCGCCACATGTAGTCTGTCCACGACGCTCAGGCCAAGTGGAGAGTGCGGGTCGCCGGGGCGCTGGCCCCTGCTGAAGCCGAGATGACAGAACAAACGCTCGACAAGCTGGCTGTGGAGAGTGCCGGGTCCCACGCCGACATCTCCAGGCGGCGAGGCATCGTCTGGCACCTCGCCTCTGACGAGCTGTCGTTCCTCCAAATGGGCAAGGCGGCGACGGTCAGCAACCTGCTCAACCCCATGGCAGACCAGGTCGACGCGAAGGCTGCGAAGCTCCTCAAGAATGACGCGGCTACCGCACAAGCTGCCTGGAAATAATGGGCCGCGAAGGCTACGATGGGGGGCGCGCGGTCGGGGCGCCAGTACGTCGCAGGGGGGGCCGCTTGAGACGGCGCGATACATGCCTGATGCGCAGCCTTGCCCGCTGGCTGATGCCGAGCTCCGCGCGGGGGGATGCATTTGGCAGACGCGCCAGCATGAGCTAATGACTCCACCTCCGCGGTCAACCTCGTGGCCGCTGCTGCCCCCTGTCGCAGCCGACCTCCCGGGGCGCGCGATGGCCGCGCGCCCTGCAAGGGGGGCCGCTGGCTGCGCCAAGTTGCCGACGAAGGCGCTCTGGTTTCTGTCCCACGCGGCGCTGGTCGCCACTTCGCCCGGGGCCGGGTCGAGGTGCAAATCCCAGGGGGGGGGGGGGGGATCGTCCTTGAGCGCGTATGTCACGCGGTGCAATCTGGCACGGGCCAAGTGAATCGCCCCTCAATAGCGCGGCGCATTGAGTAGCAGCGGTGTAGCGCGCGTCGCAGAAACGCAGAAACAGTCTGACAAGGTTATCTTCTTTGGGCCACTGCGTGAGATCTGCTGGCCCCCTTGAGGAGGAGCTCGGCTTCGATTGTTTTTCTTGTGCCACCGAGGGTGCGCGTGAAGCCCTCATGCCAGGATGCCCAAGGTTCCTCGGCAGCATTTGAGCGCGCCCGCATCTCTCCTTCTGCTCGGCCGCGCAAACTGCCCCGAACACTGGCACGGGAAAGCGACTTGCAACAGTGATTGCGGTCACGTTCCGTCGCGCGAACAACGCGCTTTGACCGTCGAGAACGAAATTCCGCCGTCGGGAGGGAATCTGGCGCGCGCGTCGCCGTAGGGCTGGTCTCCAGTCCCCGACGGCCCCGCGGGGATCGGTGCGCAAGGTGTCCCAGATGGCTCCAAGATCCCCTTCCAAGGCCAATCGCAAGGCTCCAATAGAGCCCCGCGAGGGCCCCAACGGTGACGAAGATCCTTCCAGAGAGCCCCAATAGGGGCAACTACCCCGAGAGGGCCCCCAGATACCCGGGGATGACCCCAGACGCATGAAGGTGGGGCTGCTGTGTGGCTGGCCCACTGGCAGGCTAATCTGCTTGCTGGCTCGCATTCCCGAGCCTGACGCCTGACGGCGGGGCCGAGGTGAGTGGGCTCCAGGACGCGATCATCCTGGTCTGGGGCAGGGCTCGCAAGCTAGTCTCTGGCTGCGCGAGCGCGAGGCGGGCTCCAACCGCGTTTGGGATACACGCAAGGAGTGCTGCTCCGTGGACTCTACCTTCGACCACAACCGGGTGGCAGAGGTTGCCGGGGCCCTCGGGCATGTCTCGATCATTTTGTGGATCGACATCTGGAGGTGGTCTGCCCGTCCTTCCTCATATCCGAGTGCGCGCGCGTAGGTTTGCCCCCGCGGCTGCCGTGGGTGATGATCTCCACGTGCCAGCAGCCGAGGAGCATCAGAGCGTGAATTACCTACCCCGCTTTCGCTTCCAGGCAAAACCAAGCCATACCGCGCGCCTCCTCGTCAAGCGGCCTGACAGGTACATGCTGCAATTTGGCATCGTTTGGTATCTCTTGGAAGCGAGGGTGGTCAAAAGCGAGGTAGGTTTGTTTTCCCCTTAGAGTGCCCATGCCTTTGGCAACGCGTCGGCGGCTTACCGATCTGGCCAAGGAGTGATTGCTGGATGCGCGCACGCCACAGCGGCGCTCGTCGCGCTCACCAAGCGAGCGATGGCCAGGGCGAGCGACCCCACCAATCGGGCGCGGCCGCGCCAGTTGGTGGACGACATCGGCGTCCAGAAGACCTGCTGTGGTGATGGCGATCTGCTTACCATGGCCCAGGTTTTGCAGGTACCCATGCAAGACTTGGCGGACCTCAAGCTTCCTATGCAGCCTAAGAAGATCTGCTTTGTCGGCACCGCGGCTCGCCTCAAGCGGCCGTTCACTCCGATTGCTGCGAAGCTCCAGATCAATCTCCGGCACTGGATGCGGCCCCTGGGCCACGAGTTGAGCGCGATGCGCCCGAAGCGACACCGGGAGCGGGCACTCTTGAAGGTGCTGAAGGACCGCGAGAGGCGCATCGTGAGCCTCACCAAGACCGCGGGGCGCACGATCGGCAAGCTCCAGCTCGCCGGCTTGGCTTTGACGGCGCTGCATGGGGCTGCCGTCAGCGGGGTCTCAACCGAGACCTTGAAGCAGTCAAGGGCATCTGCTGTCGTGCTGGCGGGTGCGCGGCCTGCTGCGAGCCTCGCGCTGGCCCTCATGATGCAGCTGCAGCCGTACGTCGACCCCTGGTTCACGGCCAGCCAGGTGGTAGTGCAGTACGCGCGCTGGCTCTCGGATGTTCGAGCTGGGCTCTCAGGCCGTCAGGCAGCGTGGCAGGTCATCAACAGGGCGCTAAGCGCCAACGCCTGGTCCAATGCCCAAGGGCCTATTGCCGCGGTGTGGCTGACCCTGCATAGGCTGGAGTGGAGAATGGTGTCTGCGTGTGGCGTGCCAGACGACCGTGGTCATCCCTTTTTGCCTGCGCGCGAGCAGCCCGAAGGTGGTCAATCACCTCCTGCACCGAGGCGCTTCCTCCTCCTCATGGTCCTCCTCCTCCTCCTCCTCCTCCTCCTCCTCCTCCTCTTTCTCCTCCTCCTCTTTCTCCTCCTCCTCTCGGGAGGCGGAGGCGTGAGGGCGCTCTCCCTTGCCGCCGCTCTTGGCCCCCTCGCGTGCCTCACGCCGCCCCTTGGAGCCCCGCCGGGGGCAACAAAGCTGGCCCCACGAGCCGCGCATTCGGCCGTGTGTCCCACGCAGCGCGACACCCAACGTTGCCGTCGATCCTCCGCCCCTCCCCTCTCCCGCCAAGTCCGCCCCTCCGTTCTCCTCCTGGAAGTCGCCCCCCCTCTCCAGCCGCCCCCCCCCCCCACCCCCACGGCGCCGGAGCACCCCCTCCTTGGCCAAGGGGCCCGCGTGTCCAGCGCTCTTGGGCGCGCTTTGGTGAGAGTCTGGCAAGTGTGGCGTTTGCCCCCCCCCCCGCCTCTTCCCCCCCCATCCGCCTCCGCTGCGATTTCAAACAGCGCTGGGCCGAGAAGGCGTGCAAGTGAGTCCCGACTTGCGTGGGGCCCAGATTTCCTTTCGATCTCGCCGCACCGCCCCCCCCGCCCCCCTCCCCCCTCCATGCAAGCAACCTTGCTTGAGTCTAAAGAAGACATGTGGCCTCGTACCCGGGAGGACGCCCGAGGCCCCCCCTCCCGGTTTGGCATGCTCCCCGCCTCGAGGCTCCTCGGCCACGTCACCCGCGGCCGCAGAGAGGCCGCCGAGCGGCCGCCGACACCGCCGCCCGACAGGCATCCACACCGAGCAGCTGGCGGGGGATCGCCCGGCCCCGGCGGCCGCGTCCGTCGCCCGGGGCTTCGTGGCCCTCTTCGCCGCAGAGCTCTGCCTGCGCGTGTGCGCGGAGGGCGCGGGTTTCTTCGTGGCGCGCCGCCCCCCCCGGCGGCCTTCGGCGGCGCTCGGCGGCGCTCGGCGGCCACTCGGCGGTGCTCGGCGGCGCGCTCGGCGGCGCCCTCGGCG